GATAGTTTACAGCAACCTTCCTTTCCTCTTGCCCTCATCTTATGGTATCTATAGCAACAGCCTCCATTCATTTCCATGGCAACTGCATCTGATTCCCATTCCCTGCTGAATTCCTGGCTCCAGGCAGTACCAATAAAGAGAAGGAGGGAGAGAAGACCCCTCCCCACAGTAAACAGTAGTAGCATCTGGGGAGGGTCAGTGCCCTACCATCTGTCATGGACAAGCCAGCCTCAAGTCCCTAGAAGGCATTCTAACCTGCTTCCCCTCATCTTAGAGCCTTGGCTTACAAGATTCCTCTACTTTCATCTATCCTAGCTCTTCCTATGCAAAGCACAGTCCATGAGCTTCCTCTCCCAGGAAGAATTCAAGACAGCAGGAGGGCCAGCACAGGCTCTGAGTCTGAATCCCCATCATGCCAGTTGCTAGCTCTGTGACCTTTGTTAGTCATTTTCCCTCTTAGAGCTGTTTTCTTCCTCTGTAAAACAGGAATCCTAATTCCTCCTTTGTGTTTGCCATGAAGATTAAATAATGTGTGGAAAATGCCTGACACGGGGTAGGTGCATAGTTAAGTGCCAGTTTATTTTTATTCTGCTCAGCCACCCCCAAGCAGAAGGAATTTCTCTCCTTTACTCCCCCATCACTTCCTGTATTCCCCAGCCCTGATAGCTTTCTACTTTGTTCTGTGGTTTATTTCCCCCTTCTGTGCTCTTATTTACCACTAAAGAATAGTCCAGCATGCAATCTGTGTTTGTGTCTACGTGTATTCATGTCTACATCATGTGACTGTGGATGCATGTATTTCTTTCTAGATTTGTTAACCTTTGTATGTGTCTGTGATGTTATATTTATCCACGTGTGTGTGTTTGGGGAGTTCCATGTGATTGGCCTGTTGCTAAAGTGTTGAGGGGTTCCACACCTCCAGCCCCAGATTCTTCAATACGTATGATAGCAGAAGCAACCCCTTAAGTAATCTCCTTTGTGTGTGTGTGTGTGTGTGTGTGTGTGTGTCCAGTCTCTCCAATGGAAGGCTGTGCTGCCACCCTACAATTCTTGCAACTGTGATTGCAGTCAAAATGGGTAAGTTCTCAAGAGAGGAATTACCAAGGAGTAAAGAGTCTGGAGCAGCACAGGGCTGGGAATAGGAGAGGCACTGAAATATCATTAGAGGGCCATCTGAGCTCTGAGTTTGCATCTTGACTTTCTTACTTAATAAGCTATGTGTGGCCTGGAGTTACACTTATATTAACTCTACCTCTTTTCACTATGAAGGGAGTAACAGTGCCTGTTGCAGGGAATTGCAAGGAGCAGAGATGAATGTAGAGTTGTACATAAAGGAGGGGCGTTTATTTAAGGCAACATGTGTGAAGGAGGCAAGCAGGTGTGAAAGGGCACACCTGAACTAAATGTTGAAGTGTGAACAGAAGGTAGCCAGGTTTAGGTGTGGGATAGGGCTCAGGACAGGTAAGGAAGCTGGAAGCTGTTTTATTGACAATGTTAGGTTACATCCCTCCTATGTTCATCTCAATCAGATTGAAAGTTTTTATGATAGGCTCAGTGTCCCTTGTGTTAGTCTGCTTTTTGTTGCTGTAATAAATCACAGGACACAAGCAACTTGGGTGGGGGGAGGCTTTATTTCATGTTACACTTCCAGCTAACAGTTCATCATCAGGGAAGTCAGAGCAGGAACACAGGACAGAAACCTGAAGGCAGGGACCATGCTGCTTGCTGGCTTGCTTTTCATGGCTTACTCTGCTTTCTTGTACACCCCAGGACCACCTTCCCAGGTTGGCACTATCCACAGTGGGCTGAGCCCTCCCTCATCAGTTACTAACCAAGAAAATACCCACACACATGCCCACAAGCCAATCTAGTGGCTGAAGCTCCCCATTTCCAGGTGACTCTATCTTGTGTCAAGTTAACAAAAATTAACTAGTACAACTCTCATCACCTGTCTCACCCCTCTCATTACTCTCTCTTTTTCACTAAGTTCTGGCTTTACTATCTTTTAATTGATCTTTAAACATGAAGACTTGTTTTGTTGACTCTACTTTCTTGCCTTAATCACCTACACAGCTCACTTCCTCATTTCCCTCAGGGTTCTGCCCCCACCCCAGGCTTTTCTGTACACCACATCTAAAATAGCACTTTTGCCTGGGTTCATGGCTCAGTTGTAAAGACCTTGCATAGCCTGCATAATTTTCTGAGTTCTACCCCTAGTCTGTCTCTGTCTCTAGCCCACCTTTGCCTTTCTCTCTCTTAAACACACACACACACACACACACACACACACACACACACACACACACACACCACAATTAAAATAGCACTCTTTGGCACTCTATTTTCCATCTTAACACTTATTTCTACTTGAAATGATAGCTTGCTTTCTTTCTTTCTTTCTTTCTTTCTTTCTTTCTTTCTTTCTTTCTTTCTTGTATGTTTCCCTCACTATAATATCACCTTCCTGAAGAAATAATTTCATGGCTTTGATTGCTATTGTATTCTCTGTGCTTAGTGCTGTGCCTGACACACGGGAAGTACTTGGCTGTTGTTTATTGAGCGAATTACGGAAAGCTGTGAAAAGGTTGGATGAGAAGGCAAGATGGGCTAATTTGTATGTTTCAACATTCTCTCTATCCACAGCATAGAGAAGAGATTTGCAAATAAGACTGAAGTTTGTTGTAAAAAATTGGGTGAGAGTTCTATTAGAGCAGCCATCAAGAACATAAACTGACTTCCTCAGGCCAGAAACACCTACTCTGGTCTAGGCTCTGTACCCTGTGCCAGCCAGATAGGAGATTACCAAATTCTCTTCCTGTGCTGGGATACTGAGAGTCATGCACTCTTTGCCAAAGCTAATCTGTTCCAGAAAAAAAAGAATCATGTGAAATTACTGAGCAAGATCAGCAGTAATTTCTGTCAGATTGCAAGATTCAAGGGGGCATCCTCAGTAAGGGCACATGCCTTGAATCTTAATAGAACTAGTGTGTGGAACATTTCAGATTGCACTAGCAGAAATGTTGGGGATAGCATTAGGAATAGATAAGTAGTTTGGGAGGTAGGGGCTTGAGGAACATTTCAGAGAAACAGAATCTGGGTAGAGTAAATTAGATTAAGGGGTTGCTTAATGATTGAGTCACACTGCCTGGATTTGCATCCTGCTTGATAGCTAACCTCTCTAGGCTTTGTTTTCTATATAAAATGAAGAAAAAGAACAACCTCATAGTGTTATTTAGAAAGAGCAACCAAGTTATTAAGTACAAACTGCTAAGAATGGTACCTAAATACTAAGTATTCTAGAAGCATTGTCTGTTGAACCTTTAGAGGCCTTCAATGCCAGAATGATTGAAAGTTGGACTAACTTGTAGGCAGTGAGAACTGTGGCTGTTTTGTGGATAGAAAAGATAGTTGATCAAAGCTGGGTTTGAAATGTGATGAAATGAAATGAGATGTTTGAGAGAATGCTGAGACAAGAGGGAGTGTCTTGAGGGAGACAAGAGGAGTGTCTTTGATGCTGGGCTGGGTCTAACCTGTGGAGGGTGGCATCGGGGCCTGTGAGGTCCAAGAAAAAGAAACTTTAGGGTGGAAAGCTGTCCTTCATTCTCCTTCTGAGTAGTGCTTGGGAGGGTGGAGGATGAACAGTGAGTGAGAGTTCCCTCAAGGGCAGAGCCCAGCTCTACTGCCCCTGACCTCCAGCATGGAAGACTGACAGGCCCCAGCCAGCATAAGCTCTTGTGCTAGTAGTTAACCCCTTCCACCCCCCAATATCCCCCTCCCCAGTTTGCCATCGCCTTGTCCTCTGTCCTTTCTCAATAGAGGCTGAGGAGTGGCCCTTTAATTCTTTTACTATCCAAGAGCCCCTCCAGCAAATACTACTTCCCCAATTAAAAAAAAAATCTTTCTTTTAGTCCCAGCCATACCCATTCTCCCACAACCTCCTCCATGCCTCAGGCTTCCTGGTTCTCCCCACCTCTGTGCTTCTCAGCATGCCCTGGAGCTCTGCTGCCACCTGGGTTCCCTGGCAGCCTGGTTGCCATGGCACTGTGGGAGCAGATCTGGCAGAACAACAGCTCTAGATAACCCCAGCAGGCAAGACCTGGGACCCAGCTCCTGCTACCTTTCTGCTTGAGAACCCCCTGCCTTCCTCCCCTGAGCAAAGGAGGACATGAGGAGAAAAAGGAAGCTTCCCCGCAGGGCAGCTCTTTACCTGTGAGGATGCTGAATGGGAGGCACTTCCTACTGTGGCCCAGCCTGTGCCTTCACCCTGCCCTCTCACCAGCAGCAGCAGCAACACCAGCAGCAGCACTAACAGCAGCAGCAGCAGCAGCAGCAGCCGCAGCCACAGCCTGGGAACCCTGGGAACTGGCCAGGCCTGGACTCCAGGCTGCTAAGGGCAGGGGCAGGGCACAGGGGCAGGGCCGGGTGGGGGAAGGGGAGAACCTGGATGGGCAGGAATCATCCAACATGACCGGGAGGGGCGATATGTCAACGGAACTGGTCTGGGGTAGTTCTGGGAATAGAACTACAAGGAAAATCACTGCATGGGGTTATGAGGGGCTAGAGCTGGGAGAAGTCTGGAGAAGGAACAACTAGGCCATTAGGGGAAGAAAGATGTGAGGCTGGAGCTACTAGGGACAGGAGCGGGTGACTAGAAATAAGGTTGTGACTGAATCAGATTGTGAGGGGCAGTGGGTTGGACTGACGACAAAAGTGAGAAGACACCCTTGAGGGACCAGTATCTCAGAATGGAATTACGGATAATGGAGCTCCAAAGGGAAGGGACTGAAATGGAATGAAGATAAATAAGGGCACTTGAGGGAAGAAACTGTGAAGGCTGTGAGGAGGCAGATCGAAGGTCTTTTAAATGTTGGGCTCCCTAGGAATCTGAGGAACTGGGAGAAGATGGGGTTGGGGGCAGGATCTAGTGTACTTACTCAGATAGGCCTAGCAAGCCTCTCTCCTGTTGCCACATCCTGGCTCATTTTATCTCATCTCCACAGTGTGGAGGGTGATGCCCCAGGCAGTGACCTGAGCACAGCGGTTGATAGTCCTGGGAGCCAACCCCCCTACCGGCTGAGCCAGCTGCCCCCCACCAGCAGCCACATGGGTGGCCCCCCTGCTGGGGTGGGCCTTCCGTGGGCTCAGAGGGCACGCCTCCAGCCAGCCAGTGTCGCCTTGAGGAAGCAGGAGGAGGAGGAGATAAAGCGCTCCAAGGCCCTGTCAGACAGCTATGAACTCTCCACAGACCTGCAGGACAAGAAGGTGCAGAAGAGATGGCTCTGCTTGATAATGGGAGTGGGATACAGAAAAGGCCAAAGGGGGGGGGAGGAGGTGGGGTGTGGCACTTGAGGGTGGTATTCAGGGAGGGACAGTAAGGCTGGATCTGGAGAAGACTGGCTCCAGGGCCCATCACTGTACAGGTGATTCACAACATTCACTGCACATGCAATGAGTCTCCTGTTCACTCAGCAAACATTATTGAGCAAACATCTTGTCCAGAAGATGAATGAGACCTGCATTCAGCTTTCAAAGACATGCAATCTAAGGGAAGGGGAGGCACACAAATAACTTGACAATTTCACAGTATGGTGCAACACACTGTCTAGGGGTGGAAAAGAGAGAAAAGAGGGGAGGGATGGGGGGGACAATACAAGATTTAAGAAACATAAAGCCTGGAAGGGCAGTTATCAACACATTAGTTATTGGTATGCCAAAATGTTTAGACTATATGTGAATCCTCCCTCACCCTTCTCCCTTCTTTCCTTCCTTCCTGCTTTCCTCTGTTTTTCTGATTCTTTCTTCCTACTCTTCATTACTGTTTCTTTTCTTTTTTTTTTTTTTTGGCTTCTCTAAGCTTTTTCTGACTTTAAATAATTTTTCTTGTATGTATCTTGTGAGTACAAAAGAGAAAACACTGAGCACATAGCACGTCATTATGTCCAGCAATTAGTTGTGACTTAGATGGGATATGGCTGAAGACCAAGGCCACGAGGCTCTGGCAACTTTCTGAACTTGTTCCTCTGACAGGTGGAAATGCTGGAGAGGAAGTATGGGGGCTCCTTCCTGAGCCGCAGGGCTGCCAGGACCATCCAGACAGCCTTTCGCCAGTACCGTATGAATAAGAACTTTGAGCGGCTGCGCAGCTCAGCTTCAGAGAGCCGCATGTCCCGCCGCATCATCTTGTCCAACATGAGGATGCAGTTCTCTTTTGAAGAGTACGAGAAAGCACAGAACCCTGCATACTTCGAGGGCAAGCCTGCCTCGCTGGATGAGGGTGCCATGGCTGGTGCCCGGAGCCACCGGCTTGAACGGGGCCTCCCCTATGGAGGCTCCTGTGGTGGGGGCATCGATGGTGGTGGAAGTTCAGTTACCACATCTGGAGAGTTTTCTAATGACATCACAGAGCTCGAGGACTCCTTCTCCAAACAGGTCAGGAGCCCTGTAAGGGCCTTTTCTTCTCCATTCCTAGGCTCTGGCTGCTTTTACTGCCTTTTATTTATTTTCCAAACTGTACTACTAAGCACTTAATAGCAACAAATACCAGTGATTTTAACTGAGACTGATGAGAGAGAATTGTTAACATGAGAAAAAAAAATACAGCTGAGTGTATACCTATAATCAAAGTGCTAGGGAGACTGAGGCAGGAACATTGGGGACACCTGTGTCAAAAAAAAACACCAAACACCCAGACAAACAAACAAACAGAACAAACCCAAGGGCAGGGATGTGCCTCAGTAGCAGAGCATTTGCATAACATGTGCCAGGCCCTGAGTTTCATCTCCAGCACTGTTACAACAAAACTACATTGCTAAAGCAAGCAATGTAGTTAGAACATGGGTGCATAGGGCCAGTGAGATGGGCCAGTGAATGAAGGCACTTGCTGCCAAGCTTGGTGACCCAAGTTTGATTCCCCAAAACCCACCCTATGGAAGGAAGAACAGATTCTTTATTTTAAATGTTATTTTTATGTTGTGTATCTTTGTATGTATGCCACATGTGTGCAGGTGCCCAAGGAGGCCAGAAAATGATGTTTGGTCCCCTAGAGCTAGAGTTGAAGGCAGTTGTAAGGTATCTGGCATAGGTGCTGGGAACCAAACTCAGGTCCTCTGCAAAAGCAGTATATATTCTTAACCACTGAGCCATCTCTCTAGTCCTCAAAAATTGATTTATAAAAAGGATTGTTTAGTTTATTTTATATGTTTGGGTATTTTGCCTACATGTATATATGTGTACCCTGTGCATACCTGATACCTGTTGTATTCAAAAGAGGGCATCTGGTTCCATGAAACTGGAATTATGTATGATTGTGAGCCACCATGTGGGTGCTGGGAAATGAAGTTGGGTCCTCTGCAAGAGTAACATGCGCTCTTAACTGTTGTGCTGCTAGTTCTCCATCAGTTTGGCACAGATAGAGTCATTTTGGAAGAGGAACCCTAATTTCAGAAAATGCCCACTCATATCAGATTGGCCTGTGGGCAAGCCTTTGATGCATTTTCTTGGTTGATGATTGATGTGGGAGGGTCCAGCTCACTGTGGGTGTTGCTATTGTGGGCTGTTGGCACTTGGATGCTATAAGAAAGCAGGCTGAGGCAACTGTGGGGAACAAGCCAATAAGCATCATTCCTCCATGGCCTCGGCATCAACTCTTGCCTCCAGATGTCTGCTTTGAGTTTCTGGCCTGACTTCCTTGGATGTTGGACTACAAGCTGTCAGCTGAAATCAACATTTTCCTCCCCAGGTTGATTTTGGTCATGGTGTTTCATCACAGCAATAGAAATCCTAACTAAAACATAAGTTAGTATAAGGTCCATGAGACATTGCTGTGACAGACCTTACCACATTTGGGGGAGGATTGTGGAAGGAGTTTGAAACTTTGGGCTAGAAAGGTAACTAAGACAACAGCTGAGCCAACTCTCCAGCCCAGAGTAATGATTCTTGAAAGTTTTCCTTTCACGTGCACATATGTGCTGTGACATACAAGCACACACACATACAATAAATGCAATAAAATAAGAATATATGGGACAAATAAGAATATAGAAAGTTCCCACTGTTTGAAACTTGATATATATCAAATTAAGGCTTTAGTAACGTAAGGAGCACCTGCTGGGTGCCGGGTACTCTCTATGCTTCACAACAGATCTGTGAGGTAGAGATACGTTTCCTTGTTTTATAAAGGAGGAGCCTGAGATGGAGGCATGTGCTCTGGTACATATTCTTAAGGATCTTCCAGTCTGGTAGACAGCAGAAGCGTATAGGTGTATGATTATCTGCTAAAATAGAATGTGCTCAGAACCAGAAGGGATTCTGGGAGAACCATCAGTTTCTTGGAGAAAATAGCATTGTAACTAGGCTTTACATGACTGAAAAGATGTAGCTACTTAGAGATGTTGGGATTGGGATTTTGTTATTGTTGTTGTTGTTGTTTTTACAAGGTTTCTCTGTATAGCCTTGGCTGTCCTGGACTCACTTTGTAGACCAGGCTGGCCTCGAACACACAGAGATCCGCCTGCCAGTGCTTCCTCCCTGTGCTGGGATTACAGGACATTATTTGCTCAGGCATTTAGTGATTACATCATTAAAGACATGGAATGTTGGGAATGGACATGGCAATTAGTAGGATGAGAGGTCATTCTAAGCTGAGGACATTTCAGAATGGCTCTAGGTAAAAATCACAGCTGTGCCAGCTCCCAGCCGCATAGCTTCGTTATTTTAATCAGCAAAAGGAAGGTAAAGCTTTCTACTTAGTGCTATTTTAGAGCTGTTGTGAAATGCATTTCAACTAGGTAACATACATGAAAGTACCTGGTATTTGGTAACTGCTAAGTTAGGTTTTTTTTTCTCCCTAAAACAAAGGAAGTACTTGGTAGAAATTGTTGAATGAATGAAGCTTTATAAAAGAAGAAATAACTGTGATCTAAACTCTGTTATATAAGCTTGTCATTGGTCTATGCTTGCTTCTCTGAGGCTAGTAAAATGGAGGGAATGAAAGAAGTAATGAAGGGAAGGTCTGTATCATGCACCCATTCATTCATATGATAAATAAGCATATTTTCTGTGTCAAGTGGTAGCTTATCTAAAATACCAATTGGACTTGTACCTATCCCTCAAGGGAAGACTAAAGAATAGGATAATGCCATCTGATGGAAAAGATAGAAGAAGGAGGCCTGATCCTAGCACTCAGTGCTAAGTCAGTTGAGGAGGGGATGTATAATACCTATTGCTGTACAGAAAACTACTCCAAATTTTTTAGTAATTGAATACTGACCTTAGTGGCCAGTAAGATGGCTCAGTGAGTTGAGGCACTTGGTGGGCTTGTCTGGTGACCTGAATTCAAACTATAGAACCTATGTAAAAGTGGAAAGAGGAAGAAATGCCACAAAGTTGCCCTCTGACTCTACACACATGGTGTAGCTTATGTACCTACACCCACACATCATGAGTGCATGCATACAGTAATAACAAAGTTTAAAACCTGAGATTAGAACTGAGTTTAAACAGCAAACTCTCTCTTTTCTTTCTTTTTCTTCTGAACAGAGTAGCACTGTATAGCTCAGGCTGTCCTTGAACTTGAGGTCCTCCTGGCTTACTGAAGTACTATCATTACAGGTGTGTACCTCCATACAACAACAGCAAACATTATCTCATGCTGTTTCTGAGGGCCAGGAAGCTGTGAGGGCTGTGGCTCAATGATTCTGCTTCCAGGTCTCTTAGGAGGCTACTGTCAAGCTGTGTAGGACCCAATCTCAGCAGACTGGACTGGGGCTGGCAGGTCTGCTTCCATGCTCAGTAAATCCTTGGTTGGCAGTTCCTCTCCCTTAGAACTGTTCACAGTGTAGCTTCCCAGTAGGTGAGAAGTCTGAAGGAGTAAAAGGCAAAGAGCATGGAAGACAAAGTTTGCAATATTTGACAGGCTCCTCCCAGAAACAATATACCTTCACTTCTACAGTGTGCGGTGGGCCACACAGACCAACTCTAGTGCAATGTTATGAATACCAGGAAGAAAAGATTATTGGGGGTCAGTTTGGAAGCTGGGTACACAGGGAGACAGAGTTACTAGGTGTAGTTCAGATTTTCAAGAGTAAATATTATGGATTTCATAAGAGAGTTTCACACAGAGAGCTCTGGGAGGAAACTGAAATATGGGGCTTTCCTGGATGGGAATTGAAATGGTATGGTAGAGGCAAGACTGTGGCTTGAATCAGGAAGGAGATACTATTTGACTTGGGTCAGTATGGAGACTGAGATACGGGAGTATCGTTGTTAGTCCACTCATGTCGTTGTTAGTCCTGGCTTCTGTGAACCCACAGTGGCTCCCTGGAAATTATTTTATAAACTATTAAGAATCTATGAGGTTCCTTGTAAACCCTTTTTTTTAAAAAAAAAATAAGGGTTAAAATAAGGGACTGGACAAAACACAATGAACTCAATGGTAATTTTGTAGACTTTATCTCATACTGCTTTGTTTGTACTTTTTTTGTCTTACTGGCATTTTGCTTGTATATTATGGCTTCCAATTTTGTGTGTTTTATGGGTTTTTATTGGATGTCTCTGTGTGTGTTTCTTGTGTTTCTCTTTGTCTTTTTAAAATTATTTTTCTGTTTTTTTGTTGTTGTTTGTCTGTTTTCTAAAGAGAGAAAGTCGAGGGTTGGATGGGTAGCGAGGATCAGGGAGGAGTTGGGAGGAGACCTGCGATCAGAATATATTGTATGAAAAATTATTTTCAATAAAAATGTGTGTATATATAGAAGAAATAATAAAAGGCTGGAGAGATAGCAGAGGACCTGGGTTTGACTGCCAGTTCATGACCCTCTGTAACTCCAATTCCAGGGGATTTGATGCCTTTTTCTGGTCTCCACATGTGATGCACAGACATACATGCAGGCAAAACACTCATACACAGACAATAAACAAATATTAATTTTAAAAGTTTAAAATAAAGGGAATCTTCTCTTTTGGCTGAGCCACGAGGAAGCTTTCCCTGCCCTTCCTTCTCTTCTCGCCTTCTGACCCTTGTACCATTCCTCTTTTATCATTCCTTTTTCTTTTTTACCTTTCACTGTGTGCAGGTAAAGTCTCTAGCTGAATCCATTGATGAGGCCCTGAACTGCCACCCATCAGGCCCTATGTCTGAGGAGCCAGGGTCAGCACAACTGGAGAAGCGGGAATCAAAGGAACAGCAAGAGGACAGTTCAGCCACATCTTTCAGTGACCTTCCCCTCTACTTGGATGACCCAGTTCCTCCTCCATCACCTGAGCGACTGCCCAGCACAGAGCCCCCACCCCAAGGCCGCCCTGAGTTCTGGGCACCAGCTCCCCTCCCACCAGCTCCTCCACCAATGCCACCAGGGACCCGGGAAGATGGTAGCCGTGAGGAAGGCACTCGAAGGGGTCCTGGGTGCTTGGAGTGCCGGGATTTCAGGCTCCGGGCAGCACACCTTCCCCTCCTTACCATTGAGCCTCCCAGTGACAGTTCTGTAGACCTGAGTGACCGCTCAGATCGCGGCTCTGTTCACCGCCAGCTGGTGTATGAGGCTGATGGCTGCAGCCCCCATGGGACCCTGAAGCACAAGGGGCCACCAGGCAGGGCCCCAATCCCACACCGACACTACCCTGCCCCTGAGGGTCCAGCTCCAGCCCCACCAGGGCCCCTGCCACCAGCCCCCAATAGTGGCACTGGGCCCAGTGGTGTGGCTGGAGGTCGGAGGTTGGGAAAGTGTGAGGCAGCAGGTGAGAACTCTGATGGTGGAGACAATGAAAGCTTGGAGAGCTCCAGCAACTCCAATGAGACCATCAACTGCAGCTCTGGCTCCTCATCTCGGGATAGCCTAAGGGAACCTCCAGCCACTGGCCTGTGCAAGCAGACTTACCAGCGGGAGACAAGGCACAGCTGGGATTCACCAGCCTTCAACAATGATGTGGTACAGAGGCGGCATTACAGAATTGGCCTCAACCTTTTCAATAAGTATGTGCTTTCAGTTCTAGTTTCCTTACCTCTTCCCACCCTGCATGGACACCTTGTTTTAGGAGTTAGCACCAAGAAGTGACCTTGGTTCTACCATCCTTCATTTGATGAAAGGGTATTTCTTCCCAGATGTCCAGGGACGAGGACTAGTAGAAGGTGGCAGAAAGTACATGTAGTAGTTCATGATTGTAAATCTTAGCACCTAATAGACTTGAGTCAAAGGGATTGCCACAGTTAGAAGATAACTTGGGCTCATTTGTGAGCATCAGGCCAGCCTAGGCTTACAGAGTAAGACCCATTCTCAAAAGACAACTAAATAAACTAGGAAACAAAGAAGAAAACAAGGTTGCAGAATACAGAGCCCCCAAACATGTCTGAGTTCAGGTCATAGTGCTTTCAGTACCTGTTCATATGATCTTGAGCAAGACTTCTCTTCCAAATGGCTTCTAGGCATTGTCCCCCCTCCCCATATCCCCCTCTTTTAGAGGAGAGGCAATCTCAAGTATAAAGAACCCTAGACCTGGACCCCTAATGTACCTTTGTTCACTCACTGTCTAGTCTTAGGTAACTCGTGTTCCTTCTTTGGGCTTCAGTTTTTTTTTTTTCCATCTTTCCTTAAGCAGGGTTGCATATTTGGCGGAAGGCTAGTGTGACTAATGGTGACTAAGCTCTCTCTAGGTGCCTGGTTCTGTGCCAGGTGCTGAGGAATGGGGGTGAGAGTGTGGCATTTGATTAGAAAATAATTAGAAAACAGAAGATGTAATTAGAAAACATTAGCTATAATGGAAGGCATTTGACGTAATACCTCACATCTTTATATTCTGTTAAACACTGCCACCTATATTTAATTTTCACAATAGCTCAACAAGGTTGGTAGTATAGTAACATTCTTATTTTAGAGATAAAGAACTGAGGCCTGGAGAAGTAAAAGAGGTTGTCCAAAGTCATGCAGTTAGAACAGGGTTGATCAGGTAGATGACCTAGAACATCAAAGTCCAAACTCCCAAATTTTATTTTTATGGGAGGTCCTAAGGCATTCAAGTTCCCACCCTAGAAGTTTTGGCCCCACTCTATGAAAACATTGGAGGTGCCTTGTCTGTTGAGAAGCTGGATAGGATGAAGGACGTGGAACAAAATAACCACTTCTTCCTGTCCGGAGGGTCTGTGACTCAGAGAAACAGTCTTGGTCGAAAGCTCAGGCCTTCTCTCAAGACTCTCTGATGATTTCTGGGCCTATCACAATCCCTGACAGAGAGCAGGCTCTCATTTAGATACTTACTTTCTTCCAACTGTGGTATGCCTCCAGTAAAAGAGGAAATTAGTGTGAGCATACCTTTGAATTTTGAAACTCTGTGAAATAGGAAAGTAGTGTCTTCTTCTTGTACTGTGGTGCTTTCATCTGTACCCTGAAGGAATTGACCACATTATAGATTCTAGGCTCCCTGAAGCCTTAGTTAGTCCCTGCCTCAAATCAGTTTTAGAAAAAGACACAGTTGTAGAGGAACAACTATCTCATCTACCTCCTCTCTTTCTGCAGGAAGCCAGAGAAGGGTATCCAGTATTTGATTGAGCGAGGCTTCCTGTCAGACACTCCTGTGGGGGTGGCTCACTTCATCCTGGAGCGGAAAGGCCTGAGCCGGCAGATGATTGGGGAATTCCTGGGGAACCGGCAGAAGCAGTTCAACAGAGATGTGTTGGAGTGAGGACCCCAACATGGGGCAGGCGGGCCAGGGATCCCTGGAAAAGGAAGGCAGGAGGGAAGAAAGGAGCAGTCTGTCTTTTTTGTTCAGATAAAAACTTCAGAATACGATGAATAGATTTTCCTGTTCCCATAACCCTCTGCACCAAAAGGGTCTTATCTCTCTTGACCCTATGCCTAAAGTCTCCCAAGGGTGGTTCTGTGAAGGGCATGCTCATCTAAGAGTTTGCTTTGGGCCTCAATTTCTCATCACTGAAATGAATACATTAATGGAAAGCATGTGCCTTCAGTTTTCTTACTTCAGTCTCAAACAGTCCTCAGATGTTATACTTGTGGCCATAGGTCCAAAGTTTGGGAGTCTGCCAGTGGGAGTGTTGGGCTGCTTGTGCAAGTGGTTGGTGTAGAGAAATTAAGAGTGCCACCACCCACCCTGCTTCTTTGCTCTTTAGCTGTGTGGTTGATGAGATGGACTTCTCCTCGATGGATTTGGACGATGCACTCAGGAAGTTCCAATCCCATATCCGAGTTCAGGGTGAGGCCCAGAAAGTGGAGCGACTCATTGAAGCTTTCAGGTATGCCTGCTTCCCACTCCTGAAGCTGCCTGCCCCTTTCTACTTTGGGGCCCTACTCCCAGAAGACAATTTTCTGAGCATTATCATTTCCTTGCCATAAAACAGAAATGAAGGTCTGGTGTGGTAAGGAAGAGACAGGAGGATCTCTTGAGTTTGAGGCCAGCCTGGTCTATGTAGTGAGTTCCAGAACAGCCAGGACTACATTGAGAGGTCATATCTCAAAAGAAAGAAAGAAAGAAAGAAAGAAAGAAAGAAAGAAAGAAAGAAA